CATGCAAAGCAAACCAAACCAACAAGCTAAATCAAACCAGAAGCAACAACTAGCAATGTCACTACAGACAGGACCCACCGCAAGATGAAAGCAAGGGAGGACCAACATGCTATTAGTCTTCCACAACATGAGGAAAGTTCCTGGAATAAACAACCTAACTTCATGTTTGCCAGCCCGCCTTCAGCCATCTGCTTTTAAACTTTCTGGGCAGCAATTAACCATTGAGCAACGGTGACTCCAATTCGGAGGGCAATCACCCGAGTGGGCGAGTCTGTGTCACTGAAGACTCGAGAGTTTCTTTCAAGCCAAAGATTCCAACAGAAGGCATGGAGGAAGACCCTAGTACACCATTGGGTCGGATCACTCGGCTTCTGAGCATTTCATAACTTGATCCTCTCCAAGATCACTCCAGCTCTACTGCTTCTACTGAACCCTTAATGAGTGAACCATAAGTTCTAATTATTTAAATCATAAACTATAAACACTAATATGGTGCATTATTTTTTTGCCTATATTTGGACGAATCATAGCCGTCAATTATTGTTTCTATTTTAAATTGATTTTTGGGTACAAGATTTAGAGAATTAAGACCTAAATTTTGATCTTTAAGGGTAAGAGTATGGTATCATGTCCGAAACATCAGTCAATTCAAGTTATTGATAGCGTTTTCTTACTCAAGGTATGTTGTACCCCGGATTTCACCCTGGGTACCGTAGAACTCCGCATATATATATATATATGTGACTATTAACGTACTATTAAACGTAACATTAGTTTATATACAAAGTAAAATACCCGTACGAATTTTATGCTTTCGTATTTTACTAACTATTATAGCAAGTCGGTAAATGATCGATTTTGACAAAAGTAGATAAAATGTTCTAAACCTCCAGAGAAGTCTTGCACTTACAAAGATGTGGTCAATCGACTCCTCATCCTCCCTACATAATGAGCACCTGTTTGGCGAGCATATTTCTCTCCTCTTCAAATAAAACCCTAATATGAAACATCCATCCAGAGAAAAATGCTGACTTTGGCAGACGAATCATAGCCGTCGATTATTGTTTCTATTTTAAATTGATTTTTGGGTACAAGATTTAGAGAATTAAGACCTAAATTTTGATCTTTAAGGGTAAGAGTATGGTATCATGTCCGAAACATCAGTCAATTCAAGTTATTGATAGCGTTTTCTTACTCAAGGTATGTTGTACCCCGGATTTCACCCTGGGTACCGTAGAACTCCGCACATATATATATATATATATGTGACTATTAACGTACTATTAAACGTAACATTAGTTTAGATACAAAGTAAAATACCCGTACGAATTTTATGCTTTCATATTTTACTAACTATTATAGCAAGTCGGTAAATGATCGATTTTGACAAAAGTAGATAAAATGTTCTAAACCTCCAGAGAAGTCTTGCACTTACAAAGATGTGGTCAATCGACTCCTCATCCTCCCTACATAATGAGCACCTGTTTGGCGAGCATATTTCTCTCCTCTTCAAATAAAACCCTAATATGAAACATCCATCCAGAGAAAAATGCTGACTTTGGCAGGGATAGAGTGGTGCCAGACCATCTTGGATGGGAAGTCATCCACTCCCGGGAAGTTGACTTTCATAAAGTGATCATATGCTAAATGCACACTAAAGATGCCAGACGTCAAGGGATGCCATACCATTCTTTCCAGACCTGCAACAAACTTAGACAGGGGAATGCTTTCTAGAATAGAAAAGAATCTCTCTCTCCATCACAGCCTTACCACAAAGATCAATACTCAGAGGTATTTCCCACAAGATAGACTCACCATTAAAGGAGAAGCAGTCAGTAATGCGAGAACTCCAGGATTCCGCAGCAGCACACACCCTCGGAAATTCATCTGCTAGGTGAATTCCTTTGATCCAAACATCATACCAGAATGAAGTACAATTACAACAACCTTATTCCACCTGAGCCAATCTCTAGAACTTATCCCTTAATTTCGAAATCTGAGAAAGCAATCAGTTCCCGCCACCAGGTTTGTCTCTCGTTAGGAGATCTCTAGAGCCACTTTAGCATGAGAGCATGGTTGTGGTGCAACAGATCGCGAATTCCCAACCCACCGTGTTCTTTTGACATCTTGCACAACTCCCATGAAATAAGATGAAACATTTCTTTATCGTGGGTTCCTTACCATAAGAAATCACTTTGTATCTTCTCGGCGTCTTTCACAACACCAACAGGGATAAGGATAAGGGACCTCACATAGCTGCTCTGACTCGCAAGGACCGAATTGATCAAGACAACGCTGCCTCCAATAGTGAGAAAGTTTCCTTTCCAATTCTCCAATTCCGATATGGTTCTAGAGATCACGCCACTCCAAATTGAGGGAGAAGCCAGGTGAGATCCCAATGAGAGTGCCAAATAAGTCGACGAGAAGAATTTCGAGTTGCAACCAAGAATCTTTGCAAACCTCTCGACATTGTGCACATCTCTGACCGGAAACAAGTAGGTCTTTTACAGATTGACTTTAAGATCATTTATTCATTGGAAACAAGTAAGGGCGGCCAACATGTTCATCAGTTCTTCTCATTGGGTTCAGAGAAGATGATTGCGTCATCAGCATACAAGGTGTGTCACTTCTCCACGCATCACTGCCTCGTCAAAGAAGAAACCTGACAAGAGGCCAGCTATACTAATTTTGAACAACATAAAGGATAAAAGATTCATCCCTAGATTGAATAAAAAGAGGCACAAGGGATCCCCTTGCTTGCTACCTCTATCCGTCCCGAAATATCCCACAGCTTTGCCATTGAACAGTTTCGACAGTTTGGTAGATGAGAGGGTACCTTTAATCCATTTCAGGAATTTGTGGTGCTGTCCCATACTCACCATAGTTTTAAAAATTCAATTCCAATTGATCAAGTCAAAGGCTTTCTCGATGTCCAACTATATGACTAGCCCCGAGGTCCCACTCCTCCTACGGCTATCAATAACGTCATTGGCAATGAGGCTTGATCATGAACTAATCTGCCATTTTTCCTCCCCAAATTGCTGCTTGGAAATAATGTTATTCATGAAAGGCTGCAGACGACAAAACAAGATCTTGGAGACAATCTTGTTGAGGTTGCCAAGGAGACTAATTGGCCTGAAATCAGAAATCCCTTCCACTACTTCTTCGCTGCAACATAGTTTGAGTTCTAAGGAAGTCGACGTTGAGCTAGAGGACGAGTTGAAGGATGACACAGCTTCTGGCGAGTTCCTTGAAGGCAACTTAGTGGTGTTTCCAATAGTAGGCACTCCAGACCAAAAGAAACTCGAAGGGATTGACTCATCGTCCAACTGTCCAGAACCTCAGAAGGAATATGGAGATGTCTACGAGATGGTCATGGTGGAAAAGGAGCAGATGGGTCATGTTGATCCTTGTTACGACTATGTTGAGGATGATTTCTTTTGTAGAAGCCTACAAGCTTTGATGGCAAAACTTTTCCAATGGCGAGGGAATAATCTAAGTACTCTAGCCCTCGAGAAAGTCAATTTCCAAGCATTCCCAGTAGTGTTGAAATCGAGGTAGAAGGAAGTGTTGAGTTTGGCTAAGAGCAAAAACAGCTTCAAGGTACCTAGTTTGGATGCTTACTCATTCATCTTGGGGGACATTGGAGGGAATCTGGGAGTTGGCGGTGAGAATATAATTCTTGGTGAAGATCGTAAAGGCATTGGGTGATAAGATTGTAGTTTCATAGACACCAAACAAGCAGCCTGAAGATCGTATGGTGATCAAGAAAAATCCATTGGATGAAGATGAAATTCTCCTTCCGCAGATTTGGAGGGGCACCCTTGGAATTTAAACATGTGGTTTTCCCCGAGGTCAAAAGTGTTTTCCCCGCTCGAGGATTTGAAGACCCGACCCGGAAAATAGGGGCTGACTAGTTTAGTTACCTATTTGTGTTAGGATTCTTTTCATTTTCTAGTATTTTCATTTCCTTGTTAATAGAATTAGGCTTTTGTTTTCTATTTGAAGGGATGTCAACCGAGTGTAGAGACTTAGACTTTTTTTAATTGAAAAACTTTTTTTTTTTCATTGGGCTTTTTGGCTTGTGAATTTTGCTCTCATCGTTGGTGGACTCCAATTGCGTTGAGTGTGTCTCTATATCAGTCAAACATCCATCTTGATATGTGGTCAAATTTCTACCTTTATATTTATAGAGCCTTTTCCCATATGTGAGATTGCACTTTAATTCTGCCTTATCCTTATCTGTTATTCCTATTTTTAGTTGCGTGACTTTAATAATTACGGGTGTCGGTTGCGCAATATCAAATCCACTTTCTTTTATTTCTTTCGTAGTAAAGTAGATCATTACCTCGATGAAATTGACTAAACCCCTTTTGGCATAGTGATAGCCACTCTCATCATTGCCATCACTTTGTGGCTGATAAAAAGGCCCATCTCGTCACCTTTTCACAATAGTTGGCCACGTGGCAGTAACTTATTACTTAACTAGTTGAATCATTTACACCTCGCAATTGGGTTCAAATTCTCGTATTTAAATATTGATTCTCATTGAGATATTAGATATTCTCGTATTCAAAATAAAAAATCAAATGTAAAAATAGAAGACAATAATAGGACATTTTGCACCACGAGATTGAATAGTTTGAATTACAGCCTGACGTACAAAATTAAATTGTATGAAAAGAGGGAAAAGAAAATAGGCATACGCTAAACCTTCTCAAGTGTGGTGCTCACGCCGATGATTCAATATAATTGATCGACCACCACGTACGTGTTGTGTTATTAGGTGAAGTTCATCAACATCATGATAATGACATTATTATGTAGGTACAAGCATAAATTTCATTAATCACAACAATCAGTACGAATACAAAATAATAATAATAATAATAATGACCACAATATGTAGAGAAATATAATGAACATCAAATAGTTCAAAAATATTAATATATATATATATATCTAACTATACATGTAGACTAAACCCATAATGAGACGATTCAAATGGTCATTGGAGTAACGAGCAAAGAGGTGATGACGTCCTTGGTGTCTTTGGTGGAGTGTGTGTAGCCAACTAGCCATCAGAATCCTTGTACAACACGTCCATTACACGTGCGAGACCTAGAAACACCGACATAACTTCTTTCATTGGTCCGAACTCGGAGCAACTGGTCGCTGCTGATGACGGTGGTTTCATAATTAGCAGTTCCTTGTTGATCTTCTTCCAGTCCTCTTCGATCATTTCGTTGATGGCGTCACGTGCCTCCGGTTTCCACACTTAAAATTGCTTCACATAACACTCAACCGACGATGCAGCATGCTTCCTCTCTTGCTCAAACTGCAAACATGCACGCACGTACACAAATCAATCGATACTTTCTATGCTCAACACATACATCTATGTGCATATATATATGAGTGTAGCTACCTCATGGGACACAACATCGTCCGTGAGACGACACATATCGGAGGAAGCGACGAGAATGGCGGGATCAGCAAGCAGCCACTCGAAGACCTCTCTGGGGGATTTATTGTCTTCAGCCATTCCGCACAGCGCTGCAACTGCAAGCAGAGGAGTAGACGCCCACCCACCTGTATTCCTCCACGCTCGGCACCACCTTCCGCGCCAACCATCTGGCTTCACTCAGATACGCCTTGGCTTGATTCTTCAACGCCAGTTTTAGATACTCCACGCAGTAACCCCTTCCCTCCTTCGAAACGATGTCGTCGATACCATCAATCACGCCGGTCATTGCTTCCATCCAATGACCCATGTACTCCGGCAGATCATCATCACCAGCGGCCTTCCCCCACCTGATTAGCAATCAATGGTGAAGTTAATTATTATTATATATCTTAATTATTAGGTGGTCCGATCATTGGTTGGTTTAATACCTGGTGATGGTGGCGGTGAAGAGCTCGAGCTGGTCGATGGTGGCTTTGACGTCGTAGATGTCGTCGAGAGAGGAGATGAGCACGGTCACTTTGGTTAGGAAGTGGCGAGCGAGGGAGTATTTGGACTCCCACATGGCTGCCGATGCCCAGAAGTAGACCTCAACTAGCCTGTCTCGAGCGAAAGGCAACTTGCTCGCCAGATCCAACTCCACCCACCACCTGATATATATAGTTGCCAACAGGCGTATAGTCAATAGGGGTGACTATACGGTCCGGTCCGGTTAAATTGGACCAAATTAATTCGGTGTCAGACCGATCTTTTCGGGAATATAAGGACCAAAGATTGGATTGGATATAGTTCGGTCTTGATCCGGTCCGGTCTTGATCCGGTCTGATCCTAATTTGAACTTGATTTTAGATTGAGCTTGTGGGGATTTGAGTGTTGGGGTCTCTTATCAGGTCTTTATCCGGGTTTTTTACCTCCTAATATGAGATTGGATTGTTTATTATCCGGATCCAATTCGATCCCGATCCGAGTTATACGGTCCGATTTCGAGTAAAACCAAATAATCCGGACCAAATAGCTAGCCATATGTGCAAACTCACGTACATAAATATCTGGCAAATACCCATTAATGATATTGGTACGAATTGCCGGCCACCACCAAAACCCAACCAGCAGCACAGTAGTTCTTAAAGTGTGGCCAACTACGAGAACACAAAACGAGAGGTGGAGCCCTGGAGGACTAGAAGTATAGTGACAATTCAAGGGGTGGTTTTCAAAATTCAATTCGTGAATGACGTTTTTTTTTGTTTTTATTTTTATTTTTTGGGATTCGTGAATGACGATTAGTAGGGCATAGTAAAAATAAAATAATATCTATATCGCAGATATTATAATATAATAAGCATTTTGTCCTTATAAAAAAGATAAAATAATATTATATTATAAAATAATAGAATCCAGTCACCCTTATAAAAAAATATTATAATATCAAGACAATCTTTATTTGATGATAATAGTTGTAAAACTAATAAGATAAACTCCATCAATTTTATTAATTGCCTTAAAAAATTGACACTACCATGTCATTAAACTTTTATAGTATGTTACTTCTAATGTTTGTTTTTTTTTTTGTTTATTCACTTAATCGATAAAATTGATATTAAATCAAATTGTATAGTGAATCTTAACAAGGGCATGGAGGATGGATTGTCTACGTCAAATATTCGAGGAAGACACGGTTCGGGCAATTGCGGCTATTCCCCTGCCTATTGATCCTGTTCCTGATCGCTTGGTTTGGATTGGGGAGGCTTCTGGTGTGTATTCCGTTAAGTCGGGGTACCACTTAGCTTCTCAATTGAGGCGAGAGAAGGAATTGGTGAATAAGCAAGGGGTGGTTCTTTGGGACCGTGGATTATGGAAGAGGGTCTGGTCCGCATCCTTGCCTCCGAAATTGAAGTATTTCATATGGCAACTGGTGCGTCGGGTTTTGCCGACAGGGGAGACACTCAGCGTGAGAGGGGTGGATGGTGTGCGCGACGGTCCGGTGTGCGGGGAGGAGGAGGAGTCTCTTGAACACCTCTTCTTCCGCTGCAGGGTGGCTCAGGGGGTCTGGGGAGGGACTGGTCTTGATGGGGTTCGTGAGAGTTTTCCCCAGGATCACATGGCAACTTTCTGGAGACGGTTCCTTGAATAGGATAATTTGGATTGTCAGATTTTAATGCGGGTAGTGGCCCTGTTTTGGCGGATTTGGAAGGCGCGGAATTGGGTGGTGTTTGACTTTACTTTATACACCATACCTGTTTTGCTTTCTCAATTTCGGTTGTAGGTGGTGGAATGGGAGGTGGCGAATGAGGCGCATCAGGTCATGGATGGTGGTGGTGGCATGACCGGGCATTCCGGGGGTCTTAATCAGGTTCTCAGCTCGGGCCTTTGGGTGGTTCGGGTTGATGGGGCTGTGAGATGCGGGTCTCATGGTGCTGGGGGTTGGGTGTTACAGGATCCGTTGGGAAGAGTGGTTACTGCGGAGGTGAGGCTATACGAGTTCATTGAGGATCCTTTCCTTGTGGAGCTGTTGGCTTTCAGGGATGCGATGAGATGGTGTCTTGCACGGGGTTTGACAACGATTCTTTTTGCTGGGGATGCTAAGGTCGTCATTGACAAGCTTTTGACAGGATTGACCGAAGATACCCGTGGAGGGACGATTTCTTGAGGAGATGATGGTGCTTCGTCAATCCTTTGTGCATTTCTGTGTCCAGTTTGTTGGTAGGCGTTGTAATAGGGTTGCCCATTTGGTGGCACGAAAAGCCCTTTCATTGTTCCCTTCTTTAGCTGGGTTCGATCTTGTTGCGTGGCTGTTTTCGGTCATTTGAACGTCTCGGTAATACGAGCGATCGTTTGATAAAAAAAAAAGAATCTTTTGATATGAACATAAAAATATTATGATTACAAAAAGTTACATAAATCAATCCAACTCTTGAAGACATCTGAAAATAGTTTAATTATAACTTCAAATTAATAATTATAAAAATAATCCGGCCAATGACCGGGAACAAAGATTGTTAATTAATTTATGAGAATAATTGAAAAAAGCACTATAACATACAATTATATTTTATATATCTTTCAACGATGAAAACACAGCGTAGTAGTTGATTAAAAAACAGGACTCATAGTTAGTCTTAATATTTTTTTAATGGTTAGTCATAATTTTCACTTTTAAGAATTGTGATATTGATATATTTTCTTTGAGCTATTTATGATTGTTAAAATTTTTATATTTCCTAAGAGAACAAGGACATGCATGCCCCAGGTGGTCCACCATAGTGTCAATTGGTCGGGTGGGCTCGGGGTCGGATTGGGTCCAACCAGGTCGAGTTCAATCGGATTGCGAGTTCAATCTGGTCGGTTTCAATTTGGATCGGGTTTAATTGGGTTGCAGGTCAATTAGGTTACGACTTACGAGTCAATCAGGTCACTGGTCAATTGGGTTACGGATCGGGTCGGGTTACGACTGCATCAATTTACGGGTTTATTGGATTGTGGGTTAATTCGAGTTCGGTCGGGTCGGATTATGGATTATTCGGGTCAACCCATTGGACCATTTGCTTCTTGACAGAAAATAATGTTTTACAAACTATCAATATATGAATATAAATTGTAGGTAATGAGACAAAATTTAAGAAAATGATGATATGATAATATTTTACACATAAAAATTAAATATCCATTATGTTAGTATAAAATTAAATATAAATAAAATAGTGTATATAAAAGCTTTTTTGTTGGTTATAATTTTTTTTTGTTTATGGTGAGAGATTGTAACTTCTCTTATTTTATTAATTTATAAAAAAATTGAATCAGTAAAAATTTGAGAATGAAGTTAAAAAGGTAGACTGTATGCTTATACATCTCGAAATGAATCGTCTTAGTTAAATATAGTATGAACTACATGTATGTCTCTTTATTTCCAAGAAGACGTATGAACATCATTCCGAATCACCCACTTATATATCTTAGTGAGAAAGAAGTCACCCCAGACACTTGGATGGAACATTGGGACTGTTGCTGCTGCTGTTGCTGCTGCAGGTTACTGTTGGGCAGCCATTACTACTATCTATCAATCGATAGTTCCGTTACTGTCTTTGAAGCTGTGTGGGTGACGATATCAATATGTGTAGTAATAGTGCTATATATTTATACACGCTGGAGTATAGGGGTGGGTGGTCGGTTTTCGGTTAGAGGCTAACCGGCGGTTTTAACCGCTAACCGTCTGTTAGTCACTAACCGAAAACCTATTGGTTACTATTTCTGGTAGGTGTTCAGCAAGGGTGAAGGGTTCTTTAGTTAGGCGAGTAAACCGGCTAACCGACCTCCAACAAAAAATGTAGAAAAGGAGGAGGAATTAGGAATAAGAGCGCTAAATCGGTAGATATAATTAATCTTCCCCCTTCCCCGTCTGTTTCTCGACGAACCCTAAGTCTCAAAACGTTACTCGTCCGCCTCCGAGCTCCGCGCCTCCGTCCCAGACCAGTCGCTCGTCCACCTTCGCCTTCACGCTCGTCCGTCGCAGCCTCATCCCGTCGCGCCGCATGCAGGCGAGCGCCTCCTCTCCCCGCGCCGTTGTCGCCTCCGTCTCTGTCCCATCGCGTCGTGCCATCGTTCATAGAGACCCAACAGAGCAGGCGAGTGCAGTGGCGGATCCAGGGGGTGGACACCCCGGGCCATGGCCCAGCCCTCCTCTGGATCCGGAGCTAGTATAACCTATATGAGTTTATCGATTTAGCCATTCGGCACAGTGTTATTTTATAATAAGATTGTGTGTAATTAGGAAAATGAGTCAGATGAACATATTCAAATCACAACTCTAAATTTAGCCTGAAAATTCTAGCTCCAATGATTCTCGTCTAGAGAAAAACAAACAAAAACAAACAATGAAACCTAAGATTCTAAAAGTCTAAAACGTAAAAGACTAAAAGAAATATATATTGATTAGTAGATTGATTTCTCTAGTGTTGACATTGCCCGTTTCAACAACTACTTTTGAGAGAACCTTTTCAACAATGAAATAGGTGCAAAATTATTTGCGCAACAAAATGAGCGATGAATTTCTCGCCATTTGGTTAATTATTTTATCTTCAAGAGAGTATGATATTGGCTCTGTTTTCAGAACCGGGCCGGAGTCTGAACCGAAAAAGTTAGTAGTTTAGGGTTCAGTGGTTAACCGTTACAAAACTGTTGGTTAACCGTTGTAGAACCGTTCACAATATATAACATACAAGACTCGTGTATTACATTAATTAAAAAAAAGTTATCATTTACCATACACAATTTGAATTTCATATTATCACCCAAATATCTAAAAATTATTTGAACTGTCTCACAAAAGAAATAAAAAAAATTCATTTCAAATTACAAATTATGATGCCAGTTGGTAGTGGACCATAGAAAGTCGACAACAAAGTTAGAAAATGAGAAGAGGAAGTAGTTATAATATTAATAATGACGGTTTGATTGTCTTAGTTTATGTTAAAGTATTTTCTAAAAACTGTGTTTAAAATAGTGAACCAGTGGACCAGTTAAACCATGGTGGTTCATCTGGTTTTATGTTGAACCGTGAAAAACCATTTG